GACCAACTCCTTAAGCTTGGGAGGAATTTCTACAAAGTTAATCAAGATTGTTTTTCTGCGAGCTGAATCCATAACCTATAAAACAAGAAGAGATAAATCCCCGGGTCCTTGAAACGGTTAGTGAGAATGATATGTTATGATGTTCATGATGTTATGATTATGATTTAGAACAAAGACAACAAACACAAACAAGTCACATAAAGACCTTAGGTTTAAAGGCTTGCATGAGGTTTAAAGGTAAGTACCCTCTTGAAGTTTCAGTTGGCTCAACCTGTCCTAGTAATAGTAACTAGGTTCTAAGGAGTCTCATATCATTGACCTTTCCGTTAGGCATTGTTTCAGCTCAAGCACCAAAGTATTGCGGCCGAAATATCCCGAAAGTCCAATCTCAATGAGTGTAGCATTGACTATCAACCAATCTTCGGTCGGAACCAAAGCCGGCTATCTCACTACTTTCTAATTGCTAGGATGAGTCAATTAAAGGTTCTGAAGGTCAGTTAGCATTTAATGACACTATAAGGAAGCCTAGTTTTATCTTTGACTGACTCAAGGAACATTAGTACAAGCTAGAGTATCACGCTAATGTAGCCATCACTTCGTCCGTATCAGTTTGCGTTGTACAACCTCCATGATTTATTGCTACTTACCTAAAAAGGTGCCCTAGATCCGGGTATAGGATCTTTAACAATAACCCCAGTAAACCCTTTAAAAATAAAGCAGACAAAGTAAACAAGGAAAATAATTTAAAATGATCTAACTCTAAGGTAACCCCACTTTTATAATTTCCCCAGCAGAGTCTTCGGTTCTGTAATACAGTGGAAGAACTGACTGTTATACTGGTTTTAGTCACAAATTTTGCAGTAACAAGAGTCGCTACCGAATTTTCTTTTATCCAACAAAGGAAAGGGTGAAAAGAATAGAAAAAGACCTTTCGAGATTATTTCCTGAGTAAGGGGGGTATGTTATGGAAAGGGAAGGTGTTAGAAAGTTTTCCATCCATAGTTATCTGCAGGCTCTTAGATGCTAGCTCATTTGAAAATACCTTGTGTTTGTATGAAAAAGTATTTTGAAAAAAATGCCTTGGTACGACGAACTTTGTAATGTTTCTCGTATTGTTGAGAACGTATACAAAGTGTCTCTAAAAACAATTTTGGATAGTATTGTATATGTGGAAAATGTTTTGTTTTGAGCAAGCATCTAAGAACTATCTACCTACTCGAAAAGATTTGTTCTTTTCCTTTTTTCTTTTAGACAGTGTTATCCTACTATTAGTGAGTAGGTAGCCCTGTCGTCGGATGTTTGAGGGACAATCGAGGTTCATCATACAGTTAAAAAGACAACTTAGCAAGATACTTTAGTAACACCTCTAATGTTTTAAGATCATGTACCGAGGCAACATTAAAAAGGGTCATTTTATGATCTTTGAACCAGAGGGTTGCCACTAAAATCCCTCACGTTCAAGAGTTGTGACTGTTTTATTCCGAAGGCAACCGAAGTGGGAGTACCCTAGAGGTGTGCATGTGCGAGTGTGTTGTATGCAGTTATTTTTATTTGATTTTAGGTTTTCTAACATTTTGTTTTTAATTCTTGTCACGCAATCCTATTAGGCATACATCTAACAGTTCAATATTAGCGCGGGAAATTAAAGTGCGGAAATTAAAACCTAACTATTACATGGCTACGGGAAGGGAGAAAATTACATGTCCAAAAGAGGATAAGAGAAGTAAAGAAACCCTAATTAGTCTATTACAATCCATGGGCAGATACAATATTAAAAAAGGTAATAATGCGAAAGTACTAAACGTGCGCGGATTAAAAAGAATGTTTAAAACCCTAAAAAAAGTTCTAAGTAAATAAAGAAATTCTTTTTTGTTGTTTTTGTTTATTTTAAAAGAAATTTTTAAATTAATTAATTAAATAAACTAGATCTAATCATAAAGAAAAATGTTAATTATTAATGAGAATTAAAATTAATAAAATGAAATCTAATTCTATATTTTTTATTAAGAAAAGATGTGAAATGAATTAAATCCTAGTTCTACTTGATTTTAAATTAAGGAAATAAGTCAAAATAATTAACTAAATTAACTTATGAAAATTAAATTTTATTAAAAAAAAAACTAAATCTATTTGTTTTATGATTTTTCATGTTTTTTATGATTAGAATTAAAATTGATTAAAAAAGTAATAACTAAATAAAGAAAAAAAGAAAAGAAATTTGGCTTGGTGTATGAAGTATAATGGGGGTATGATTTGAACTTGCCAAGCCCAATTAAGGCTAGCCCAGGGGTGTTGCGTCAGATCCTATGTTGCTGGTTCTTGAGGGTCTACCATGAGCGCCCAACTTTGGAACGCTTGATCTGATGTTGTGAGGCTTTGACGATGATGGTCCGATGACACATGGTGCATGCGTACGTCCTGGTCACACTAGATCTACAAAGAAATAATTAGAAAAAAATTATGCAAAAGGAAGGGATTGAACCCCTGCCCTTGCACACACACAACGCCTTAACACATACACATTCAACCGTTGGGACGACTTTACATCCAAGAGCGTATATCAAACAATAATAATATAATGTAAAAGGCCAACTAAATCCAAGTCAGCACACGCGTGCATCCCAATGAGACCCTGGATATTTGAATGAGCCAATCGCGTGAGGGCACATCAGGTCACCGGAGTCATAACTTGCTCAATTATTATCCTTTGAAGATGATCTTTGACTTTTTGGAATTCCCAAGATGTCATTTAAAATATGTATGTTGACCATTTTTTCATTTAGAGGATTTATCTTGATGTAACTTGTCTTGACAAAAAATGCCTTTTTGTTGACTTTCAAAAAGACTTGTAATGTATTGGCTCATATCTTTTCAATGATGCATTTTTTTGACTTTAGTACAAAAGAAAAGTTGTAGGTATTTTAATTTTATTCACAATGAGCTTTTGTTGTGGAAAATGGATGAAGCATGTGAAAGTTATGCTTGGTCAAAGTTCAGTTGACTTTCTCTAGGAACCTCTAATTTTTCACTTTTGAATTCTTGATGATTTGAGAGCATTAATTGAGGAATAATGATCAAACCTTTATCAAATGATGTATATCCCTTCAAAATGTTGATGTTGATTAAAAATCTTGAAATTTGACTGGTTATTGACCATAGTTGACTTTTGACCTAATACAGTTGATTTCTAGTCATCTGAGCAATTGACCTAACAAACTTGTAATGCAAGGCATGAAAATTGGCATGAGCATTCTTGAGTACATATTAGGAACCATGGAAATAACTTGATGCCTTTTAAACCCAAACTTCTTTGTGAAAAATGAAACCCCAGTTGGAGATCCATTTCTTAGGAGGAGAATTTGTCTGGTCAATTCTTGGTCAACCTTGAGCACTTGAGGACCTCTAGGAGTATGTTTTGAACAAAATGAGAGGCAAAATTTTGGGGTAAAACACACTGCATTGAAGATTAGATTCTCTAAATATTTGTTTCAAAGCTGGAGAGATAACAAAAGATCTGATTTGGTTGATTGGATGTCAAAACCTTTTGCCTTGCATTTTAATATTTGATTAGATATGATTGGATTTGATTTGATTTTCAGTAGGTTCTAGCCAAATTGAATATCCAAGCCCAAATGTTTCACTGGCTTATAAAAGGAGGAGTCTAAACCTAAGAAGAACACGAAGCTGGGAATAAGGATTAATATCTTTTAGGGTTTTGTTTGTTCTTTGTGTTTGTGATCCTCTCATGTATCACTTTGATATTGAGTTGGACTAGTTGTTATTTGTTCATTGTGATTCACTCATGAGATTTTAAGAAAGAGTGTAATCTTTTTAATTAGGAAGTATTTCTTCTTTCAATTATTATTATTGACAATCACATGTATGTTATTGAGGTAAGTGAGAGGGGTATCATATCTAGGAGTTCGTAGGTAGAAATTGCATGGGTAGTGATTAGGTGAAAAGTTTGTAAAACAAGGGTTGTTCAGAACTTCAAACTTATACTATTATAATGGATTTCTTTCTTGGCTTGGATGCCCCCATAGTAGGTGAAGTTGCACCGAACAGGGTTAATAATTGATTTGTGTTTTTACTTCCTCTATTTGTTTTAAATTGTTAATTGTTATTTGTTTTATCAGTAATATGATGTCTTAACATTGCTTTCAACATCATGTTAAGTTATCCTGGTGTTGGGACATAATATTCAACATATGTATTGTTGTGCCAAAATTTCAATTGGCATCAGAGTAGGCACCCTGTTCTGATTTTGGGTGAGCTTCAGGGAAGATGATTTTTGGTACTATGGACAAGGAAGGATGATTTACAAATAGACTGCATGTTGTGGATGTCACCAATTATGACTATTGGAAATCAAGAATGGTGGCCTTTCTAAAATCTATGGACAACAAAATTTAAAAAGTTACCATCAAGGGTTGAAAACATCTTATGTTGACAGACAAAGATGGGAATAACATCGCTGAACTAAAACCAGAAGAAGATTGGTCTGATGAAGAAGATGAACTTTCTCTTGGGAACTCCAAATCTTTGAATGCATTGTTCAATGGTGTTGACAAAAATATGTTCAGATTGATAAATACTTGTACTGTTGCCAAAGATGCTTGGGAAATTCTCAGAACCACTCATGAAGGTACATCAAAAGTCAAAATGTTAAGACTTCAGCTTCTCACTACTCAATTTGAGAATTTGAAGATGAAGAATGATGAATTCATTCATGACTTCCACATGAGTATTCTTGATATTACTGTCATACCCCAAATTTGCCCGCCCTTTATTTCTACGGTCAAAAATATTTTCAACACTGGTTTTATAATTTTTTTTTTATCTTTATAAATATTCGCTTCCAAACCTATTTGAAAATATAATGATTTATTTCATTTGTATTTTTGAATAAATAAATTTTTGTTCACCTTATATACTTTCAATTGGCTTTTTATTTTGAACAAGTAAAATAACACAGTTGGTAAGGAATAAAGTTTGCAATAATGAGGTTGAGGTTTATTTTTCTTAATATTTTTCTTTCCTTTTTTAGAGATCAGGCTTTGGGCTTTACATTTATTTTCTGCTAGCTTTCTCTCCAAGTAATTTAACCTAATTTAACTCTATAAATAAGATTCATTGTTGTCCTAATTTTTCATGAAGAGTTCTCCCACTATGCTATTGTTCATACACACACAATCATCCACAATCTCTTACAATTTATCACAATTTCACTCATTCACATACGCTACATTTTTTGCAATGTTTTTTCCTTTTCAATACTATTGGTGATCTTTTGATTTTGATCAATGATTTCGTATGAGGCCCCTTTTTAATTTCAATTTGGTTGTTGTCTTAACCAAATAATGAATATCTCATGGTTCATTTTTTAAAATTTTCTTCACAACAATTTCTCTTTAGTATTATACACACGTAATTTCTAACACTATTTTTATCTTATTGAAAATTATTGTTTATTTCAAGTTACAGTAACAATTCACCTTGTACAAACCTACACACACTTGGAACACGGTATACCTTGTACATATAAAACACAAACCCAAAGTTACCGCACAATACTATCTATCACCTTCATAACATCACTACTTCGAAATTAACATACACAAATTTCTGTCACCAACCTTGCAAATTACTAAGCCATACAATTCCAAAACCTGTAAATAAATTCACAAAACAATACTACTTGTACAATTTTTTCATGTTTGTTGTTTTGCAGAAGAAGAAGAATTGGACCCAGATCAGGAACCCTCACTCCACCAACGGAAACAGACCCGCTTTCGCAACTACAGACGATGTTGTCTTCGCGAACTTGCACCGGACCAACATGCATAATCAGAAACTATAAAATAAGAAAATAAAAAACTTAACCTGTACATAACTTGTTTCTTTTTGTTTGCAGAGAACTAGATCGGGAAAGATGCTCTCATCATCCCTCAGTGAAGTCGACAACAAGTACACCTGCTCCGTCGTATAACCACCACCACGATATAATCGCCACCGGCGAGTCAGCTACAACCGCAAATTATCGTGCGAATCCCACAACATTGTTGCTATTAAGGTCGTCTTTTCCCTTTTAATTTTGAGTAGTGGTTTTTGTTATTGTGTTTATGATTGTTGGAGAGAGTTTTGTTTGATTGGAGATTGGACAGGAAATAGATGGAGATGATCTTGAGAATGAATAGGACCGTGAGAGAGAAAGAGGAAGAAGCCGTGGGTTTTAATTTTTCCTTTATTTTCTCTATTGATATCAAATTCTACTTGTTATTGTTATTTTTTTATTATTTATTTTCTTTTCTTTTAATTAAGTACCGCCACGTGTCATGAACTTATTGGAGACAAAACAAACAAAAAACTTATGACTATGCAATGTATTTATCCCTTTTCATTCTCCAGCGTTAATTTCCTTGCTGTTCTAATATCCATGTTAATTTTCTTACTATTCTGAATGGTATGTTTTACTTTTTTCATGTATTATCACTTATAGTTAGAAAACAGGGGTTTAGAAATAACATTGAGCTTGGGCTTATGGACTGGACTCTATTCTTTTACTAACTAACACCCAATTTTTATATGCACTCCCCTAAACCCGTCTATTTATTTATTTAATAATTTAAGTTAATTTTTATTTTAACTATTTAGGTTAGTTAATTTTTAATTAGGTTATTTAATTTTCTTAGTATTATTTGTTTTTTTGTAAATGATTAATATAGTAATATACTTTAAATTAATTATGTCAGTTAGGTTCATTTTTTAATTAGATTAAATCAAACAGTTCAATACTTATAGGTAAATCATAAATTTTCCAAATTAAATTAAATTAGTATTTTACAAAAATATTAAAACCCACACAACTCCAAATATTTCATCCGCGAGTGACACGTGGCCAATATCTGGCCACGTGACGAGGAAGACTATATCAGACTCCCATCGCATCCTTCATGAAGAGCAACACGTGGATAATATCTAGCCACATGATGAAGCGACTATATCAGGCTCCCCCGCTCTATATCTTATCATACTCGTTATCGATCAAAACTCAAAACAGCTAACCAACTCCAAAATGTTTTTTCACTAACATAATAAAATCAAGATATTTTCAAAAAAGGATTAAGGAGAATTTCTTTCAAATTAACTGCAAATTGCGTCTACGCTTACTCAAATTACAACCAAGACAAGGTTCAAGGATAATTCGAAAGCAATTCTATGCAATTCTATAAAAAATACCAACCAACACTACGAACTACGAATTCGGACTCTGATTCCTTATAATAGGATACACATGCATACGACTAAAATCATGGTGAGTTCCCCTAATAAAAAACTAAAACCCCATTTCTTAAAAATTGCGCTTCTAACCCTAGTATCCATGTGAACAAGGTAGATGAGGGGTGTCGAACACCTTCCCTTTGTCTAGAATCGAGTCCAACAATCTAGAATCTCTGATTTTTAGGGTTATCCTTTATACTCTGTTCCTTAGGATAAAAATCAAGGGTGCGACTCTATAATTAAAACCAATTTCAACAGTTGGTGATTCTGTTGGGGACTCAACCCTAGGTTTAGAAGCCTTATCTTTTTGTTTTTGGGTTTTTCTTATTTTTTAAGTTTTTATATTTGTTTATTTAACTATTTATTTATTCATTTATTTATCTATTGTTATTTTTATCATATTGTTATATCAGTGGTGTGATTTAAATTTTGCAAAAAATATTTTCAAAAGGCCTTACAAAAAAGGTTCGTCTATTAGCCAAGGGGATACATCAGTCCTATGAGTTTATGTGATGACTTCACATAGAGTCGATGGAACTCCGCAAAAGAAATATGTCTCAAGAGACATCCTCTTGGAAAGTAGGACTTTGAAATGACACTTATGACTCTTTGTACAACCTTCAAACCAAAATATCATGATGAGACCTTTCATGACCTAGAGACAAAAGTTTCGGTCTGCAAAGAGGCTCCATTTAAGGGAGGCCCTTGTGCATTTCCCTCTAGTGTTATTCATAATACCCTTAAAGAAACCACATTATGTGGAGGTTAGAATATTCGTAGGCCAATACTAGGAACCTACCAACTAAGGACACCACTCACAAATTCCACTACAATCCCTAAACCCGCAAGGGTTATCTTTTCTTCCACTACTACCTTTAGCATGTAAGGCTTCCATATATGACATAATCCCTATCTTGTAGGGATTTCTCGTCGTCTTTCATTAGGCCGTAATCCTAAATAAATTCCTGCCTGTCTTAATCTCTGAGACAATATAGGATATCATCATATCCATGTCTATCGTTATCTACATCCTTAAGGAGTTCCTGTCTGTCTCAATCTCTAAGTCTGTATAGGGTATCATCATTTCCATGTTTATCGTTATCTTTGTCCTTCAAGAGTTCCCGCCTCTCTCAATCTTTGATTAAGTGTAGGACATCATCAGTTCTATCTCTACCATTAAACTTGTAAAGGGTACCCCTACATCTATCCTCATACTACGTCTACGTCACATTGCATATCCATGAAACATTTTTTTGCATACCCTTAAAAACCAAAAATATTTTTTCATACCCATGCGTTCACATACATTCATACATTTGCATCTCATGCATTTCTATCTTCGCCCTTATCCAACTTTTACCCATATGCTAGCTGATTTCTTGGCACCCGTAAACAAACTTAAGAAAGTATGAAATTATGGAAGGAGGAGATTAAACATTGGAGACTCAATTGAACTTGGTCCTCAAATCTTATTGGAGAGAGAAGGCAGCCCTTCACCATGACAACTACAAGCCTACACAGCAAATGCCATTACCATTGGTGATTCCTCTATGTCAAGAGCAACTGTCCTATCAACAAAATTGGTATACCCAAGAAGAATCAAGGGTCATCCCCATTCTGTGATAAGTCCAAGAATTACAAAGTATCTCCTAAAGTCAAGTGGATCAAGAAAAGAAGCTCCTCCATAGGATCATCAAACTTATCAATTTAAATTTGTAATCTCCTACTTACTAAGTTGTATTTGGTGCAAATTTGTATCTTTGGATCAGTAATTCTAATAAAATGAGTATGCATGTTTTCAAAGTCAATTAATTCGTTTCACTCTATCAACGACTTTCCATTTCACTTTTCAATTTTCAAATTTTCTTTAACAAACTTTGAGGGAGAATGACGAAAATTAAATAACAAAAATTTGTTAACGTATGCTTTCAATGGTAATACCGAGCTGATGATGTAAGGCATTGTTTCAATCCCTAAACAATGGAGTAATAAGGAGTTAATCCATAGTCAACCCCCTCGAGACAGAAGTTGGAGTTATTTATATTTTCTAAAAAACCATAATTTCAACCAGTGGTAGAGTAGTCTTTCAATTAATTCAATGGTGCATTCTATTCTCAAGAGAATCAAATCATCTAAGCAAAGGATCAAGCACATTGTCTTCCTCGTGCACATCAACAAAGATTGAGGAAGAAATCAATAAAGACAAAGTTCACAACATCTTCTTCTTCAATACATCATTCAAGATCGAGGAAACAATAAAGGTGAAGCTTGCAACAATAAGCATGACAATCACAAGTGTTCAACATAAAAAAGAAAAAATAAATTCAAGAAAAATAAATCCTTCTAAGTCAAGTAACAATCGGAAAAAACTTGACTTAGGCAAAAGTCAGAGCGTCCCGATGGACCAAAAAATTCAAAAGAATAGGTGCATGCAAAAATAAGGGATTAAAACAGATAAATTGGAGAACAATATTGTGAGTGCCACTTCAAGAATCATCAAAGGTTTTTCATCAATGCTTGAATCTTATCAATGCTTTTCATAAATGATTAGATCTTACCAATGCTTCTCATCAGCGCCTGGACTTTATCTACGCTTCTCATCATCTGCGCGACTACGAAATTTCTCTTGGAGATTAAATGCATCTGTTGGATTAATTGAACTTAGGATTGGAGAACATCAAGGAGAATGGGGTGGGATAAATAAATCTTGAGCCTTATATCCATTGTTTCTTAAACCATGAACCATGGCCTTGTTACAACATTTAAAAGTCCTAACTGAAGCAAGGCTAACTATGAAAGCATACTCGGCAAAATTTGTGTTAAACTGACTCCTATGTTTGTTATACTTATTACTAACCACTCCGCTTCTTCGAATATCCATCGCTAATCATCAATTTCTATTCATACTTCAATTTCAAAACTTACATGTGCACAAAACAAAATTACTTTTCAAAGTGTACACTTTTATCTACGAATAGACACTTAGCATCAAGGAGATCTCAAAAAGAAATTGGGTTAATCAAAAGCAATCCATTTCAAAATGCTCCTAACCAAGGGCAAAACATCTAAAGTAGAACCCTATAAACAAAGGCAAACGCTAATGATCGTAGGGGTATATCACATGAAGATACTATTGACAAGGGGTGATCATTCCAAGATGCAACCAACTTGGATCACATTTCAAAGCACCAATAAGGGGATTCCTTTTGAATGAGCGTTCCTTAATCAAGTCATATCACAACATGGTATGACTCGGTTCCATCTTCTCAACACACTTCTCAAGGCTCTAATAGTCAAGGGTAAACCTTTCAAGACTCAAATGTTAGGGCACTGCATATCAGGTCCATCTTACGACACGTAGGGTCCAAGTTCCTCTCAAGCAATTCCAAGTACAAACTTTTCAAAGGTTCAAATCTTGGGGAAATTTATATCAAGTACATGGTGGATCCCAATTTATTTCTAAGGGTACTTCCTCCAGATCTTGGAGATTGAGGGGCACATCTTTCAAAATTTGAATGTTAGGGCAAACCACTGCGAGGCTCGGTCAAAAGGAGTTGATTCAAAATGGTTCATCAAAGCTAAACATTTTCAAGAGTCTTTTAATCAGGGGCATAATGAAAAATAGTGGGATCATTCATATTATGATTAAACTATTTCCAAGCTTATATCAATGAGAATCTCCTCCAAGACCCTACCAACAAATTAGGAAAAGACAGTCCATATAGGGGCAAACTCTCCGCATAATTTCATAATCTCCAGTGGATCTTTCTCCTACATCAGAAATCTTCAAGTTCAAATCGAGTATTGCTGAATCATGATAGCATAACATTAAACCATCATGTGACAAGCAACCCTGTTACATAGGAAGACCTCTAAGCTTTAATCATCCA